CATCTCCACTTGCTGTCTTCTCTCTCTCTGTTTTCTTATTCTCTTATTCACCATCACTCTCTCTCTCTTTCTGTCTTTCTCTCTCTCAAACCCCCTCTCCATCTTAACTTGCTGTGTTCTCTCTCTCTCTCTGTCTTTTTATTCTCCACCATATCTCTTGCTCTCTCTTTCTCTCTCTCAAACCCTCTCTCTATCTCCTCTTGCTGTGACCTCTCTCTTTCTGTCTTCCTCTCTCTCAAACCCTCTATCTCCACTTGCTGTCTTCTCTCTCTCTGTTTTCTCATTCTTCACCATCACTCTGTCATTCTGTCTTTCTGTCTCTCAAACTCTCTTCTCTATCGCCTCTCGCTGTGTTCTTTCTCTCTGTCTTTTTATTCTCCACCTTATCTCTCGCTCTCTCTCTCTTTCTCTCTCTCAAACCCTCTCTCTATCTCCTCTTGCTGTGTTCTCTCTCTTTATGTCTTCTTATTCTCCACATTTCTCTTTCTCTCTCTCTCTTTTTTTCTCTCTCTCAGTTCCCCTCTCTATCTCCTCTTGCTGTGTTCTCTCTCTATTTTCTTATTCTTTACCATCGCTCTCTCTTCTCTTTCTGTCTTTCTGTCTCTCAAACCCCCCTCCATCTCCTCTCACTCTGTTCTCTCTCTATGTCTTCTTCCTCTCCACCATCTCTCTGTCTCTCTCCTCTCTTTTTTTGTCTCTCTCAAACCCTCTCTGTATCTCCTCTTGCTGTCTTCGCTCTCTCTGTTTTCTTATTCTTCACCATTGCTCTCTCTTTCTGTCTTTCTTTCTCCAACTCTCAAACCCCCTCTCCAACTCCTTCTTGCTGTGTTCTCTCTCTCCCTAAGTGTTTTTATTCTCCACATCTCTCTCTCTTTCTGTCTTTCTCTCTCTCAAACCCCCTCTCCATCTTAACTTGCTGTCTTCTCTCTCTCTGTCTTTTTATTCTCCATCATATTTCTCGCTCTCTTTCTCTCTCTCAAACCCTCTCTCCGTCTCCACTCACTGTGTTCTCTCTTTCTGTCTTATTCTCCACCATCTCTCATTCTCTCTCTCTCCTTTTCTCTCTCTCTTAATCCCCCTCTCCATCTCCACTTGCTGTGATCTCTCTCTTTATGTCTTCTTATTCTCCACATCTCTCTTTCTCTCTCAACCCCCCTCTCCATCTTCACTTGCTGTGTTCTCTCTCTCTCTCCTTCTCCACCATCCCTTTTTTTCTCTCTCTATCAAACTCTCTGTCTATCTCCTCTTGCTGTGTTCTCTCTCTCTCTCTTTCAGTTTTCTTATTCTCTTATTCACCATCGCTCTCTCTTCTCTTTCTGTCTTTCTATTTCTCAAACCCCCTCTCTATCTCCTCTCACTACATTTTTTCTCTCTGTCTTATTCTCCACCACCATCTCTCATTCTCTCTTTTTCTCTCTCTCTCAAACCCCCCTCCATCTTCACTTGCTGTGTTCTCTCTCTCTCTCTCTGTCTTATTCTCCACCACCACCTCTCTCTCTCTCTCTCTCTGTCTCTTTCTTTCTCTCTATGTCTTCTCTCTGTCTCTATGTTCTATCTCTCTGTCTTCTTATTCTCCACCATCTCTCTCTCAAACCCTCTCTCTGTTTCCTGTCACTGTATTCTCTCTCTCTCTGTCTTCTTGTTCTCCGCTCTCTCTTTCTTTCTGTCTCCCTCTTTTTGTTTCTCGTCGCTTGTCTCTCACTCTCTTCACTCTCCTCTCTTTTGTCTTCATCATCACTTGTTCTCTTTCTCACCACTCTCTCTCTCTTCTCTTTTACCTCTCCCCCACCCCATCTCTGTTCTCTCTATTTCTTTCTGCTTTTTTCTCTATTTTTTTTTTTTAATCTTTCATCTCTTGTTCTGTTTTTCACATCTCTCCTCTCCTATTCTCTCTATCCACGCTCCTTCTCTCTCTCAGTCAAGTCTGTGTTTTAGTGCAGAATATCCCTCTGTGTTTTTGAGGCATATATTTGATATTTTATGTGAAATGAAGGAGCTCGTTAATCATCAAACATTTCAAACTAAATAAAAATATTCTCCCCTCACATTACTTAAAGTCCTACATTATACAAAGTGACTCTTGTGAGCTTTTAGATATGTTAGAATGTCGTTACGTCCTCAAAAACAGACCTGCAGTTGTGTTTTGTTTCATCTCCAAAGCTCAAAATGCTCTGTTCCACCTTGTGATGTCATCATGCAGCAGAGGTGCGGCAAGTCGTGAATTGGACTTGAGTCAGACTTGAGTCTTTATTTTTAGGACTTTCGACTTGACTTGACAAAATGGACTAAGACTTGGGACTCAACTTGGATTTGAAGGTCGATGACTTGGGACTTGACTCGGACTTGAGGCCTGTGACTTGAGAAGCACTTTTAATTCTGAATTCTTTCTGTTCTGACCGTTAATGATTCACAATATCCCTCTCAGGCTCAAATCAAATTTTAGTAACAGGATCTGATATTTGGGGAAAATGATCATATGGAGAAGTAATATACAATCCTGACCTTTTTTTTGAGAGACCTTCACATCCAATGTGTTCTGGGATGTTACAACATTGGTCCAGTGTGGTAAATTAACACTGAAGATATGATATGAACACTAACTTTATGTGTTCACCACTTTTCATAACAATGAAAACATAAAGTAGAGTGTAACAGCTTTACAGTGGCAGAACAACATCACTTTTTCATGTGGTTCTCCAAGAAACAATTTTTATCCTTTGTACACAACAAAAGTACTTTGTACTTCTGGCAGGTTGTTTGTGTGTAACCATTCTTGCACAGTCTGCATCATCCATGTTTATCAGCATGGATGGGAAAAAAGGCTCCTGAGTAAAAAAGCTCATAAAATATGGATTTGGAGTAAGTAGGTGATTGGCATTTAGCTTTTGCAAATCTGCAACACCTGCCTGGAGAGGGAAAAGATTGTGTGAAAACATTTAAAAAGGAAAAAGTCTAGAAGTCTTCACCTTTTAGAAGATTTCTAGATTTCTAAAGTCTAAAAGTCTAAAGTCAGCAGGGTTTGTGAGTTAAGCATGTGAATGAAACAAAACACAACTCCAGGTCTCTTTGTGATGAGGAAACAACATTATAACATGACTTAAAGCTCAAAGAATCCACTTTGCATAATACAGGACTTGAAAATAGTGACATATGGACCCGTTAGGTTCAATGCTTTGAATGTTTGATTCTGCAGAAATACGTTTTTTAAGCCTCAACACTGAGCTACTCTCACCTCGCAACCTGTGCACATGGTCTCCCACCTGTCCGGACCGGAATGAAAAACTGAGAATTTCTTGTACAAGTCATTGTTAAATGCACATTTGTGCTTCAGCATGTTGCAGGCTGACCGACTGTTTGTGTCTCGCTCCTTCTGAGTCACAGAGCTACAAGAGCCGCTCAGTCTAATGGCCCAATGAACGGAAATGAAAACCCGGACATTTCCATCACTTTATGAAAAAAAAAACGCCCAGGACAGGACGCAAAAAACTGACATGTCCAGGGAAAAACGGACGTTTGGTCACCCTAATTTTTGTCCTTCTTTTTTTCCTCATCAGCAGCCATATTTGTTTTCATATAAAAGGCCCATGCTTGTCCCTGATTGGCTAATCCACCTGTCAATCACGCCTCTAAGCAATACGTGTTTTAATGATGAAAATTTTTTTTTTTAATTACTCAAAGATTTTTAACTCAGAAAAAACTAAAAATAAAATAATTAAGGAATAAAAGAAATGCATTTTTGACACAGTAATTTCAGTTCAAACAAAACAAAAATATAACATAGCTTGCATGTTTTTGTTGTTGTTGTTTTTTTTACACATTTTGCACTAACTGAATGTAACAAAACTTTACCTGCACATTATGACATGACCTTTGACCCAGCTTGTGTTCATTGGCTCTATTTCACCTGAGTGTTCACGGGGCCCTCTCCGTCAGATCACTGCTCCAGCTCAGGACCTGGATCTGGGTCACGCGCTCCGCTCTTTAAACATGTATGACCCAGACTACGCACCAGGCGCCCGTCGCTCTCAACAACATGTGTTTTGACAGTCCCCTCGTTTGAGACAAGACAGTAGAGACTGGGATGTGAAAAGTATCAGAAATCAGATTCTAATTGTAGTAGAGTAGTAGTATCGAAACTAAATATATTTGAGCAGGTATCGATAATAAAAAAAGTCACATTGGCAGGACAGAAATGAAGCTTTCCTGAATCGCTTACTATCTTTGAATACTATCTTCTCGAGAAATACTTCGATTTAACATTGCAAACAGATTCTATTGTCTAAATAGTGTTTGTTTGTTTTTTAAATAACATTATGGAGATGGAGTACTAAGTAATGAGTCTATCCCTTAGTATGTTTGAGGTCATTTTTCTCTAGGATCATACACAGGAGCTGGTTGAAGCCACTCGAGGTTCACAGTTATGGCGGTTCATTTGGAACTCTATATTTGGAAATCCAAGTGGGTGTATCATAGCAACCAAAGAGCCAATCAGGAGCAAGCTTATTGAACACACTCAAGTGGAGAACCCAGGGTGAAATTTGTATTTTAAAGGTACAGCACATGGTTTGGTGATAAGCAAAAGAAACAAAAAGGCCTCCATAGTTTTTTACAGTTTTTCACAATTTAAATTTGATCGCATTTCTATCTTTATATGTTATTAAGAAGTAACTAAAGTCATCTGCTGCTTCTGAGAGTTCACACTTCACTGTGATTGGTTAAATTCACCTGTCAATCACTCAAAGCATGACAAAGGCCAAGGCCAAAGTCAAGACCAGTAGGAGAAGTGTGTGTGAAGTGTCTTTGTTTGTGTCAGAAAGAAATCAACTGAATTACAATATGAAGATCTCACTAAAGCAGCAGATCATCTCAGGGATCAGATCACAGTTCAATTATTATCACTCTATCACCCATGGGGTGACTATTGCTTTGTCTGAAATGTTCCACAGTATGGCATTAACGTTACCTGTCTTGCATTGATCCAGTGCCTGTGCTGTTGTCAGGTGGACCAGACCGGAGGCTCCAGGAGCACGCAGCAGGCCCCCACACTGGTCATCTCTGAGACGGCTGCTCCAGACCTCAGGCTAGAGAACTGTCCGGTCTCCTATGGCAACCGCACCGTCTCCCATGGCAACCGCAGCGTTTCCCATGGCAACCACAGCATCTCCCATAGCAACCCAACAGGCAGCGTCCAGAGTGAAGGAAATTACAACTGCAACAGGTCAGGCAAAATAAGAATAAAACGTTGAAAGTATTTCAGATGGACTTTCAAGGAAATGAACAGTGAAAATAATGAAATAATGACATAATTATAATTATCCGCTATTATTCATATCATAATATTCTTGTCAGCTACATGAGCTGGAGGCACTTTTCTTTTGTCAGTCTGCCCCAGGGCAGCTATGGCTACATTAGTATCTTACACCACCGGGTGTGGAGTGAATAACTCATGTTGTGTAAAGCATCTTAGAGTGTCCAGAAAAGTGCTGTGTAAAACTGATGCATTATTATTATAACATTGTTTTCTCTTTCCCTGGAGCTGAACCAGACCTCTCTGACACCAATTATTTTGGTTTTCAAGTGTCTTGCTCAACTACACTACAGCAGGAATGCATTGCTGGAGGCTAGAATGGACCTCTCAGCTCTTGGCTAACAGCTCTACTGAGCTGCTGCCCCACAGGGCTCATGACATTAATTATGCAACTTATAATAACAATACACTAGATTTATACAGCACCTTTCAGCTCACCCAGAGTCTTCACAACATTCTTCATTCACCCACACTCAGAAGTGGTGAGATCCTACTGTAGCCACAGCTGCCCTGGGACAGACTGATGATGATAGTAAACACTAGAGCCCTGCCATCTCACAGTGGGAGCTATAATATGAATCTATCAGGTATAAGCCCCCTAATGAGACAAAATATTTTAATAGGACACTGCTCAATGTAGAAACATATGTCTTATGGTTTGGAGGTTGCAAATGCCATCAGTTATTATGTGGGACAAAGCTGCCAGTGACACTGAGTCACACACACAGCATATTTCTGTCTGTCACACATCTCTGTGTATCTCTGTGTGCAGTGTGTCTGTAGACAGCAGTGCCCGGCGCAGTACCAAACCACAACACCAGAGCCCCGCCCCCCTCTGCAGCAGCAACTCAGACCTGACCCAGAGCACCCGGAAAGAGAAGAAATCCCACAGAGCACCCAGCCAGGACACTCAGACCTACAGAGCACCCAGCCAGGACCCCCCCACGCTCCCCAGGTCAGCTGCTGACGACCCGGTGGAGTCCCAGTGGGAGACGGGCTACACCACCGGAGGAGACACAGGCAACGAGCTGGATCAGGACCTCTCACAACACCTGTTCAGGTGAGGACTTAAAGTGAGACTAAAGTCCTAAACTAAAGAGCAGGGTGGAGTCTGGAGTATGAAGGACTAAAGGGGAGAGTCAGGGTTCTTGCACTTTTTGATCCAAGCAAGCTTCTATAGGACACTGAGAATGATCTGGTGTGACCATCAAAAAGGGAGTCAGCATGTTTCAACTTTTAGTCCCTCACTGAGCTACAGGTGTAAAAATACCCTTCGTTTATGCAACAAAATCAGTCAAAAATCAATAAAAAAAATACAATAATTAAATCAGTGTTATGTGGTTGCAATTTCCAGTAACAGAAAGTGTACCAGAATGAGAGAACCTGTATTGTTTTGTATATAGAACATTGTCTTGTGTGTTTCCAGGTTGTACCCGGCGATCATCAGTGACGAGCAAAGACGTCACTACAAAAGAGAGTTTGACTCAGACCTGACTCAGTACAAGAGTCTGTGTGCAGATATGGACGACATCAGTGACCAGATGCACAAACTGAGCCGTGAGCTGGACACGCTGGAGCCCTCCTCCATCAAATACCAGGTAAGACTACACAGATGTACTACTGTAAACATATACTCCTCCATCAAATACCAGGTAAGACTACACAGATGTACTACTGTAAACATATACTCCTCCATCAAATACCAGGTAAGACTACACATATACACATATATTACACATATATTACACATATATTACACATATACAGCTCTATCAAGGACCAGGTAGAACTACACCTCCAACTAATAATTGGACTAATTTGAACTTGTTGACTATTGACTATAATTGTTGTAATGTTGATTATTTTATCTCTCGCTTTCGTTTTGGTACAAATGAAAAATCCACTCTTCACTAGTGTGATGTGCAGGTGTCCACAGGAGGAGCTGACAACTTCAAGCCTCTCTGTTATGATGATGTTTATGGTGATGTCAGCTCATATTAGGCACAGCAGTTTTCTCATGCAAAAGTCAGCAGGCTTGTTACTTTCATGAAGTTGTTTTAGATCAGTTTTGCAAATGAAAATGTCCAAATGGTAACATAATGGTCCTCAGGTGTCACAGATTATAACAATGGGAAAAATTTTGTGTACAGTGTCCAAAGCAAGAAAAATGATCTGACGAAGGCTTTTTTTCGAAACATTATTTAACAATTAAAAAAAAAAGCTTTTGGACATTGGCTGATGATCTGACTGTGCTTTGTATTGGCGTGTTTCAGCTGACGTCATTGTTATTAAAAGCCTGCGTTGCATGCTGGGAAATACCTCACGTATTTCTCCCCGATAATGGTAAATTCCTGCTGCATTATCGGATGCACAAATAGAAGCACGGAAGAAGGAAAATGTCTTGTTCATATTCTGAGTGAAAAGAACCGCTAACGGTGAATTAAACGACTTTCAAACATCCGCAAAGTAAACGTAGAAGATCCTAACAAAACCGTGGACTCCCAACAAGTTCAACAACACATCGAGACTCTTGGAGGTTTTCATCTTTTCTGCTGTGAATGGCCCAGGAGTTTCCACCAAGTCATTGTGGATATCACCCAAGTGAATATTTGTCCAGGGAGTTGGTGATTCTGACCAGAAATTTGGTTTGGTCCACCTTTTGTCGGGGTTGAAAAGGGTGATTTGGCGTCTTTCGACGCTTATGACCAATTTCTGGTCAAATGGTCTTGGGTCCTCTGCCGTTAGAGTGGATAAATAACTGGGATCAATATTCTTTACGTGCTTTCTCGCTCCGTCCGTCATGTTGAATTAGTGTTTCTTGCCGCCGACCAAAATAATTCCCAGCATGCAACGCACGCTTTTGTCAACAATGAAACTCGCCTATTTTTTCACTTTTAAATAGATTATAACAAGAGCACACACAAACACAATATGTTTTCTATAAACTATAAAAACATTGAAATATGACCATGTAACTCCTACTACATTACTACCACTTCATATGTTTTATGAAGTTACCTGCACTCATTTTGACTTTCCATTACAGGGAGTAGCAGATGAATACAACAGACTGAAGGACTTAAAAAGAGTAAGTGTAATCCCCGTGTATTTACTGTGTATCTACTCTTACAGTCCAACTTTTCTGGTAAAGGGCCTGTCAGATACTTTTCTCCAAAGAGATTGTAGTGGACCAAACAGAAAGGCAAAGACAAGGTATAAAAATAAGTTTAAATTTAATAAAGTAAAAAAAAAAAGATATAATTTAACAAAGGCTCAAATTAGGAAAATTATTAACAAAAAAAGCCGGGCCCAACTGAGGAAACTCAAATCAAACTGAACAGAACAAAACGAACCCAACCAGACAAAAGAACAGGGCTGTTTAAATACTTGAGGACCAACTAAAACTGAACACAACAGGGAGGAATTACACTAAATAATTAACTAAAACTACTAATTTCATCAAAGTAACAAAATGGCAAATAATTATAATACAGAAAATAATAAGTGATAATACAAACTAAACAAACTAACTTAATTATATTAATAAACTAACTAAATAGTGCTCCCTCCCCCCCTTGTTGAGTCATGATGGTTTCTCCCAAGGGTCCTCCGTTTGGTGCTCAAAAAAACAAAAACAAGTGTAAGTATATCAGACTTATATTAACTAAAATGTGTGCACTTAAATTAGAATTTAAGTCTAAATAAAGTGTATGTAATGTGATTAACTTAATGTAAATGAAATGAAATTATACTGACACAGAGATGTTATTGCTTCATCTAGAATCTTTCACTGTATTAAACCTTTCTGTCTTCATGGAGACCAACCCAGACCAAGTTACAGGTCAGATTTGTGGAGAGGCGACCCCGCTCACAGTCACAATGTCTGTTTTTCTAGATATTTTTGAGTTATAAAACCACCTGTAACTGAATGAATGTAAAGTAGAGCTGTTTAATGTCACACTGTGGAACATTCCAGGCAGAGCAATGACATCTCCATAGAAACATAAAAAGATAATAATAATAATCAGAAGAAGAAAAATAAAGCAGCTCGTCTTGTCCTGAACTGTCCATTCAGGACAAGCATTAAATTCATTAGAAACCTGATAGTCACAAAAACACCTGAAATACTGTATTGTAAATGAACCATGTTGAGTGACGTGCATCAGTACTGCACAAGACAGTCAGGTGAGAGTCGCTTTTTGTTACCGGCCTGTCGCTCATATCAAATCCAGAGGACAGTGCGCTGTAGAGCAATGGTGGCATGGAACTCACTCCCACAGTTCCTCATCTCGGGAATGTGGACGCTTAGTTTCCATAAAATGCTTAGACTGTTCATTTTCACTCGGGGGTAGTATTGTTGGAATAGTTGTAATTTTGTGTGTTTTGTACTTCAGAAGTTTTGGAGGGCTTAATGTTTGAATAATGGAATTGTGTTGTCTCTGATTTGAATGTAGAGCTATTATATATGTGTATGTCATGTATGTGGGTATATATATATGTGTATGTGTATATGTATGTATGTATGTGTGTAGTAGCTAATGGGGGATCTAAACAAACAAACAAACAAACAAGCAGGTGACAGGCCCCAACCAAAAAGTTACTTAATGCACCTTTAAACTTGCTTATTTTTCCTGTGTTCTTTGCAGACAGCAGACTACCAAACCAAGAAGAAACAATGTCGAGAACTGAGACAAAAACTCTTCCACATCAAGCGCCTGGTGAAGAACTATGACCAGGGCATGTGCTGACCCCACACCCGACTAAACTCTGTGCTTCTGCTTTGGGATGGTCTCCTAGCAACAACACAACTATAACTGTTTACTCTTTATCTCCTTAAAGTCATGTGTTAAAGGGCCCATATTACACAGTTTTCTGATCTATGTTCTAATGTTGTTTCCTCGTCACAAACACACCTGGAATTGTTTTTGTTTCATTCACAAACCTACACTGGTTCTTCTCACACAGAAAACACTCCCACCTTGTGATGTCATGTGGTAATACAGGAAGTGCTCCATTGTGTTTTTAAATTCCATACACCTTCACAAGAATCATTTGGATATTTTCAGTCCTGGAATCTCTGCTGAACTAGATGTCAAAATGAAATGTTCACTTGGAAACTACCACTTCATGACATCACAAGGTGGAACAGAGCATCTTGAGGTCTGGAGATGTAGACAGACTAATAATAAAGGGTTAATCAAACATGTGTGAATGAAACAAAACACAACTCCAGGTCTGTTTTTGATGGTAACATTATAACGGCTTAAAGCTCATAAGAGTCCATTTTGTGTAATATATGATTTTTTAAGACACTATTTTACCTCACATCAGTTAAAGGTCCTATATGATGCTTTAGACTGGTTTATAAACTACTTTTGAACTTGCTTTGGCATTTCATCTTTTAGATGAGAGAATAAAATAAGAATGAAATTATATGTGTCAAAAACAAATTAGTGTGTAGATATTTTACATGCAATACAATAAATCACCAGCAGGTGGAGCTAAACCTCTATCAGCTGACACACTGACAAGTTCAGCAGTGAAAAATGAACTAAAGAAATTACTGCTGCTAGTGCTGAAGTCTTGAAATGTGTAAGTGTGAAAGATAAGAGCGAGTGTGGTGAAAGTGTATGGACTTTAAAAACATGAACACTAAAATGTGATGATGTCATACTCTCAGATGGAGGCAAGAGCCAGTTTTACCAAGAAATATCAACAGGGAAATTCACAAATGTTAAATCTGATCATTTCTTTTCGGGTTCAAACCAGACCAGGGCATTGTCCAGCTCCCGGGCCACATACAGCCCTTTAGTCAATTCTGACCAGCCCGTTTAAGATAATTTAGAATTACAAAATAAATATGTTTTATCATTTGACCTCATGTATGGACTAAAGCTGCGTTTATTTTAGAGGTGTTTTTTAAGGAACATTTTTCATTGTTTAGTCAGAACATAAACTCTTCCCAGTGTGAGCAGCTCATCAGAACAATACTCTTTACTGCTTTTTAATAACAAAATACAATTCATATTCTGCAAAATTAAGTTAAACATTTTGGCCTCCTCAATATTTTCTGTTTCTCATGTGGCTCCATTGAAAAAATACTTGCCCCCTGCTGTAGAACGTTGATGCCATGTGAAAGTGATCTCAGTCTGTGTGCACAGTATCACAGTGTGACAGGGGCCTGGCAGCCTCAGTGTGAGTGTCACCACTTCCTGTCTGATTTGATCTGTGGTTTTGCTGAGTCGTGCTAAAATGAATAAATATTTCATGATCAGGCAGAGAACAGGAGCTGTGGGTGGATGTTACTGACAACATGTGAAAAAGTAGTCAAATAAAAGGAATACTCGAGCGAAGTACACTTCTGTGTTTTTAAAGAGACATGTTTGTGTCACAATGTTAACGCTAATGCTAATGTTGAGGCATGCTAACTATTAAAACCACGATTAAAACAACACCACAAACTGAAGTATGCTACATCTACAAATAACCTGGAAGTCTTTGTTTTAATTAATTGGTATTTTAATAAATTGTTTGTTTTCTATTTTACAGTTTTAATAAAAGTGAGCATTAGCTTTGAGGCGCAGTGAGCTAGCTAGCATGCTACTGTGTACAGGGCCTATTTCTGTGACATTCTGGAACATTTCATAAAATAAAAAAAATTAAATAAAAAAAAAAAATTTGAAAAACAAAACAAAACTGGGACATCCCTGGTTTGTGGGGGTTGGTAATAATAAAACTGTGAAACGAGTGTGAAATTAAGGAAAATTGTTCTGCACTTGGCATGTATCTAGTCCTGGTCTAGTACCTGGTTTAGTCCTGGTCTAATCCTGGTCTAGTACCTGGTTTAGTCCTGGTCTAATCCTGGTCTAGTACCTGGTTTAGTCCTGGTTTAATCCTGGTCTAGTACCTGGTTTAGTCCTGGTCTAATCCTGGTCTAGTACCTGGTTTAGTCCTGGTCTAATCCTGGTCTAGTACCTGGTTTAGTCCTGGTCTAATCCTGGTCTAGTACCTGGTTTAGTCCTGGTTTAATCCTGGTCTAGTCCCCGTTTAGTCCTGGTTTAGGCTCGGAAGAGTACCTGGTTTAGTCCTGGTCTAGTACTTGGTCTAGTACCTGGTCGAGTACTGGGTCTAGTCCCTGTCTAGTCTCTGTCTAGTACTTGGTTTAGTCTCAGTCTAGTACAGGGGTGGGCAAACTACGGCCCGGGGGCCGTATGCGGCCCTTTAAACCTTTTAATCCGGCCCGCCGGACTGGAATAAATTACAATAATAAACCTTGTTGATGTTTTATTTGTCATGCATTTCCAGCGTTTCCCAGTAGATGGCGCACTATATATACATTGAGTTGCGGCGTATTATGTTGGCCGCAATGCTTTATGGGAAAGTGTTCTTACAGGAGTTATTCGGACCATGAGTGAAGTAGTTGGTGCTTAAGATATAAGACTGCACTGCTTCCATTTTGAGTTGGTAAAAATCAGTCAAAGAAATCTGTGGTCTCTGAGTTGTAATTGTTAATGTGCACATCATTTTGGAGGCAGGTTTTACCACACTCACAGGTGTATATTTGTGGTTGTATGGTGTGGATTTTGCTTTTGAGCTGTTACCAGTCATATTCAGAAACGGTGAACTCACGATATACATTCACTCGTGGTGTGTAGTGGAACAGGTCTCAACAGTTTTATGTGTTCTGAATCTTTCACAGCAGTGATGAAACGTGTAGCCTGCGTCTGAAGTCCTAGATAAATGTGAATAAGAACATAATGAATCTGAGCTCTTAACACGTTATGTCCTGTCTTCTGTCTGGCCATTCAGTCAAACTTTAGGACCCTATGTGGCCTGCGAGCCAGAAAGTTTGCCCACCCCTGCTCTAGTACCTGATTTATTACTGGTTTAGTCCCAGTCTAGTACCTGGTTTAGTCCTGGTCTAATCCTGGTCTAGTACCTGGGTTAGTCTCGGTCTAGTCCCCATTGAGTCCTGTTCTAGTTCTGGTCTTGTACCTGTATATTCACATTTTCTTTGTGTTTTGATAATTTTTAAGCAGATTTTCTGTATTTGACCTAAACAAATGACAGTTTATACCTGTTTCTACTGTTGGCAAGTGTCAGATTGGTCAAAAACAGGGACATCTGGGACATTTCTTGTTTAAAAACCTCTGGTTTTGTATAAATGTGCTGGGACAGGGGACACCGGCTCAAAACTGGGACTGTTCCAGGAAAAAAGGGACGTCTGGTCACCAAAACTACATGTCTTTGTACAGGACAGAATTTTACAGACAAGCATAATATGGGACCATTAAGAAAATATTTGCATCTCATTATGTATTTAAAAAAAAAAAATCTTTAACTGCATGATTTCATCCAGTATTTACAATCCATTAACCAGTTCTGACTCTGAAATGTGTTTTTAAATGTTACTGAGATAAATCCACAGAAGCCGGTGGTACATGTCGCTGTGTTTTATTTGGCATTCCTCATACAGATGCAACACAACACTTTTTCAAGTCTTCAAAAACAAAAACAAAAAAAAAACAGAAATGAACAAAAAGACGCCATCGCCTGTCCATTCTTTTAATACACATGAAATCGTCAAAGCACAAATATAGGAAAACATTGAGTAGGCTATAATCATTTTTTCCACATAATAAAAAATGTTCTCAAATCATCAGTTTCACCCGTTTAACTTTTTAAAATCTTTTCGTAGTAAATGCTTCAGTCTTGTCATGTTGCGTGACGAGCTAGACTTTGATTTTGGACGTACTTAAATGAGGTAAACCCAACTGGGCAAATTCGGTGACGTTTTTGGCATTAGAAACGTTCTCGCCAAAAAGAAATGAACTGAAAATGAGCTACAGGGATTTCAAATGGAGTTGTATGGAGTAGTTTTGTGTTTGTTTGTTTTTTATATTCTAGTGTTTTCCTGAATATTTTTGGGTTATTTGAATAAACAATTGCGTTATAATTTAAAGGGCCCATCTCATGCAAAATAACTCTTTTCACATTGTATCTTCTGCACATAAACAAGCACAATTTGGGTTTTGGAACATTCATTACACAATAGTTCTGCAATCTTACTGATTTCTTGGAGACAGTCACAGACCAGGAACTATGAAAGTTCGACTATTGCTCCTCCCCCCGCCCGTCCTGAGAAAACACAGGCTCCGCCCTCCAAACGTGACGTAGGCGACGAGTGAGCCGCCCTTCCTCCACCCATCTCAGGGAGGGAGGGGGAGACAGGCGTGCACCCTGATAGCGGTAGGAATACACTTTTATTCATCATGGAGAAAGATGTTGGACCCGGAATCGGACGAGGACTTTGAGGAGCACGAAGCTCAAGCACCACGTCCACATCAGCTGAACATTACTGATTGGTAAAGTATTAATAAACACTAGTAGATCAACTTATTATATCATGTTCCCTGCAGTGTAGAACAATGATCTTATGCTGACGCTTTTGTTTACGTGTTCATGTGGGAATTGTCAGTCGATGCGGGTGGAGATGGGGTGGAGGTGGTGGAGCGGGGGGAAGCGCTTTCTGCTACATCAAACGTGTCACAGGTGTATCTGCTGCGTCATCGTTGTAGCAGCTTTAGTTCGTAGTCACGTGGGAGGGTGGCAGAAATACACTGCAATTTGTTTAAAAAAAACGCCAAATCAATCTAAAAACCACTTCAGCGACAAATACAAGGCCCACACATCACTCTTAGAAGGTAGAAAGCTCTGAAAAGTTGATTTTGCATGAGACGGGCCCTTTAAAAGTGCACTGTGTCACTTTTGGGTGGGGTCTGTCACCTGCTCGTTTCCATGGAGATGTTATTGTTGACAAGACCGGCTGCTCGTCTGTTTGTCGATGGAGAAGTTTAATGCTGTACTGGGGAACCTTCCTGTCAAAGCAATAACATCTCTATGGAAACAAGCAGGAAAGTTACATAGTGCTCCTTTAAAGCAACCGTGACATTTGTTATTCGAACATTGCGCAGTGTTATCTCATGTTGATACTGCAGGTGATGTCGTCAGCGTTATATGGGATTGTGCTGTTAACTGAAAGTACTACTCTGTCTTAAGCGCTGTTATTCAAGTTGGAATTAAAGGTGCATTGTGTAACTTTTCTGATGGAGGGTGCTTTTCTCCATAGAGACTCTGGAATGTTTCACAGTATGGTTTTACACTTTTCTATTTCAGCATTTGTCCACTGATCTGAATGTTGGCAGGGTTGGCGGTTCGAATCCCGCTCCCGATATAAAAACACCATTGGTTGAGTGGTCAGGTTGGCGGTGCGATTCTAGCCCCCAAGGATAAATGCTGTCGTGGTGTCTTTAGGCAACACACCTCAGCAGGTAGATAAGTGTGAGTGTGTGAATGGTTGAGTGGTTCCTTGTTGTAAAGTGTTTTGAGTGCCCTGAAGGTGGAAAAGCACTGTATAAAAATGTGACCATTCAATTCAAGGAGACCAAATCAGACCAAGTTACAGGTCAGATCTGTGGAGAGGCGACCCCGCAGTTCCCTCACAGTCACAATGTCTTGTTTTTGTCTGTTTTAGATATTTTTGAGCTGTAAAAACCACCTGTAATTGAATACATATAAAGTAGAGCTGTTTAATGTCACACTGTGGAACATTCCAGGCAGAGCAATGACATCTCCATAGAAACAAGGAGGTTTAAAAAGTTTAGTTCATTGTCACGTGGGAGGGTGGCAGAAATACGCTGCAATTTGTTAAAAAAAATGCAGAATCAATCTAAAAACCACTTGGGTGACATATACAAGGCCCACACATCACTCTGAGAAGGGAGAAAGATCAGAAAATGTTTGATTTTGCATGAGATGGGCCCTTTAATACAATCTGAGTAGAAAAAAGCTGACTTAGTTGGATTAGTCCTGTTAAACAAGTGTCTCATGGTGTTTAAAATCAAACTCCTAAACAGGACGATAAACTCTGGAATTAATCAGATGTCCCAGAAAATGTGCTCTTTAAATCCACTTTGTATTTTTTTCTTAAGTTTTCAGACAATCATAAAACTTTTTGAGTGTTTGCTGATGTGTACATAGTGTCCCCACGGTAACTGCCAATAAAGACAGATGTAGAACACCCCCAGCACGACGTCACTGTACAGTATCAACTGAGTAAATGAGTCACCATCTGATTTAACACTACAACTGCTCGATTATGTGATGTAACAAAATATTACAGTCAATTAATTATTATGCAGTTATTTTAGTAATATAATGTCCTCTCTGAGAACTAAATTTGGTATTTTGTATTTGTCAGGAATAAGAAAAAAATTCAAATCTCCCCACACAACTCCACTTGTTCCCGGTGTTGTTGGCAGTGACGATCCGTGTCACGTCTACAGTATGTGGGGCCAGTTGCTATGGCGATACATGAAGCTTGTTTTGACATCTAAAAATGGCAGAGGTATTCTTATGAAAATACATGTAGAAAAAACATATAAGAGTAACAGGGAAAGCAACACATTTAGAAAGAACTCAGAAATTTGGCCAAAAACATGCAAAACATAAATTGGCCTGAAATATTTACAATACATTTTGAAGGGGAAAGTAACTCGCACTGTTAAAATATTTCTGTATGAGTTAAAAAAATAACTTGATCTTGATTTTGAACCATTTTGACCAGTATTAGAATTTTGTAAATATGTTTATTTTGTCAAAGATATACTTTCTTTAGATAACTTCAGATAAGTACAAGGATGTTCCAAAATTGAACTAGAATTTTTATTTACTAATTTTTTTACTAAAAATAAAAATTAAATTTATATCTTAGATAATTATTTTTTTCTATTTGTATTTATTTATTAATATTTTTTTCTTTTTCATTTTAATCATGACTTTAAATGATGTTGAAATTATTATTATTATTTCTTATTAATTTCTGAGTGATTTAAACTTTTTAAATTAGTCAAAAATTGAAGGAGAAAATATTACCTAAATATTATAACACATGTAATACCTTTTTATCCCTCTGTGTTGAAAATTCCAAATCAAAAATAATAAAATCAAGATTAATAAAATTTTAACTCATGTAGAAATATTTTTTGCGATAAAAACAGCTCATAATCTGGTAGTGTTTCACATCCGGTAAACCAGACATTTCTTTTTCATTTTCAACAACAAAATTTTAAAAAACTCACAATTTAGCTGATCATATAAAAACACGTGAAATCAACATACAAGAAGAGAGACAAATGCTTCCTTTAAGACTAGTCAAACCAGCGCCCCCTACTGTCCACACTGAAAAACAAGGCAGTTGTCAAAAAGAAGGCGATTTCCGGTGATCCGCGTGTACAGAGGTTTTACTGACAAAAGCTGAGGTATCGATTCGATTTTTACGGCAATGGAAAATGTTTATGTTTTGATTTTAATGGTAAAAACTTTGGTGATTTTTTTCCTTTATTTTTTCTTACCAAATTCCAGTCTTGAAAGCTCTTAAATCATCTCACAGTTTGACAATTTTTTCAGTCAAAGCTCACAAAATATCCAGAGATCTTGGGGAACCTTCCACGGAACTTACTACATCTTAATTTTCGGTCTTTCTTGGCCTGCGGAGTTGACATGTTATGGCGATTTGCACCATAATGAATCCCAACTGGGGTCTTGTCTCTGATCTGGCAACGCTCCAGAGTTTCAACCAGATCTGGCAACCCTTGGAGTCCTGTTCTTAAGCCGCAGAAGCAGCCGAGGAGGTAAAATGGCTCCTCCACGTACGTAGCTTTGTCCTGTCTCAAATCTGGCAACGTCACGAGGTTGGTCCAGATCTGGCAACCCTTGGAGTCCTGTTTGTAAACCACAGATGGAGCGCGATGGGTAGTTTTTGAAATGGCCGGGGAGGTGAAATGTCTGCTCTCTGGGCGTGTAGGGCAGTCCTGTCTCAAATCTGGCAACGTTCGGAGTTTTCACCCAATCTGGCAACCCTTGGAGTCTTGTTTGTGAGACACAGATGGAACGAAATGGGTCGATTTTTGCAGTGGTCGAGGAGGTAATATGGACACTCTCGGGGTGTGTAGAGAAGTCCCGTCTGATCTGGAAACACTCTGGAGTTTCAAACAGATCTGGCAACCCTTGGAGTCCTGTTTGTATAAGCCATAGATGGAACAAAATTGGTTCTTTTTGCAGTAACCAGGGAGGTAAAATGGCTACTGTCACGGTAGGAAGGGTAATCCCATCTCTGATCTGGCAATGCTCCTGAATTTTCAACCAAATCTGGCAATGCTGTGACTTTGATCCAGACCTGGCAACCCTTGGAGTCCTGTATGCAAGCCACAGATGTAACACACTTTTCGCGGTAGCCGAGAAGGTAAAAACGGCTACGCCTCTGATCCGGCAACGCTCCGGAGTTTTCAACCAGATCTGGCAACCCTTGGAGTCCAGTTAGTAGCAGCCACAGATGGAACAGAATGTAGTTGGGAGACGTGGAGGTGAAACGGCTACTGGCCCGGCACGTACGGCCAGCTGATGGAACTGCCGGAGAGCTGCATGTCTCTGATGAGGGTCTCGATGGGGGTTTTCCCGACGAGGCGCATGAAGAAGAGCTGCGAGATGAGGTTGGCGGGCACGGCGCGGAGGGCGGGCAGGCGCAGGAGGAGCCGGCCGAAGCGCTGCGGTTGGCTGGGGTACTGCATGCGCTCGTACTCAGTCAGAGCCACCTGGGCCTTCTCCTGCAGGGACTCCACGTGCACTGCGTCAGTCAGACCACACGCGTCTGGAGGAGAAGAGAGCAGAGTTAAGATCAAAATACAATAAATCTTTTGAATGGGCAAAGGTCCTGATAAACATTTAAGGTCCTATATTACACAAAATAAACTCTTAAACCATCTTATAATGCAGCTGCCTCCTCAAAAACAGGAGTGTGCAAAAATACTAAAATATCAACATATTGTACCATTTAATGTGATGATTCAGTTCAGATATCGTGGGCTGCTGTATCGATATATCAGAGTATTTTTTGGTATATTTTAAAAAATTATTTTGTTACAGCTACAGTTTTGTTGTTTGTTCAGAGGAAGGAAACTTATTTATGCGACATATTTGACATTTTCACTGTTTTAATGATTAAAACAGTGTAGCCGCGAGGTCTGTTCCTAAACTAAGGCCTTAAAAGTCTTAAATTATGTTGTCCAAGTCTTATTTTTTTCACAAAGGTCTTAAATTTTATTAGCCTGTTTGTTTGTTTACTCGACCGAGCTGCAGTGTGATGTTAAACGGAGGGAGGAAAAAAAAACAACGTGAAATAATGTAACGTGAATGAACGTCTAATTTGGAGTATACGCAAACAGTACTTTGGTTTTTGGTGCCAGTGGCAATGAGTAAACAATCAGTTCCGTCTACACTGCCCAAGACGTAAAATCTCAGATCTGCATCACCACCGCACGTCACCGTCGAGCCTCCTGACATGCACCCAATCCAATTCCACACACTTTTACATCACCGTATGCAGATTTCCTCCTGAAAACGCTCGTCTAAAAAGTGAAGACGCTATGCCACTTTTGTGTCTTCTGTTCGGACCGTCATCATATAAAAGTTGCCTTAGATTCTAGATTTAGAACCAGTAGTTGGTTGGTCATTATTAGAATTAGACCTGGTTTTTCGCCCACATAATGGGTGTGACTTTGGTCTTCATTTTCATTTAAATGGTCTTAAAAAGGTCTTAAGAAAGTCCTGAATTTGGGCTAGTCAGACCCGGGGATACCCTGTGAAGTGTTTGTGTTTCATATTCGTTTGTACAAGAAGTGGTTCAACAACAACGATTTAAACATTATATTTTATAAAATGATTGAATTGTTTTAATATATATCGTATATATATCGTATTGCATCGTACTGAATCAGAAGTTCACTATATGGAGATATGTATTGTTTCGTGGCCTGTGCATCGAGGTCTGTATCGTATCAGCAAATATCCAGCCCTAGTCAAAAACATATCTGGAGTTGTAATTTGTTTCATGCATGCAGTTTTGAGCAACCGTTTATTATTAGTCTGTCTATATCTCCAGAGCTCAAAATGCTCTGTTCCACCTTGTGATGTCATGAAGCTGTAGTTTTCAAATTAGCAGTTACCTTTTACTTTTTGTGTAGTAAAGACTGACAGAGATTCAAGGGCTGAAATCATCCAAAAGATTCTAGTGAAGGTGTACGGAGTTTAAAAACACAGTGAAGCACCACATGACATCACAAGTGTTTTCAGAACTCAAGAACTCAGCCTAAATTAGCAAGATATGTGTGTCAGATGTGAGTGAATGAAACAAAACACAACTCCAGGTGTGTTTGTGATGAGGAAACAGCATCATAACATAGATCAGAAAATACCCTGATAAAGTATAGATAAGTAGAAAAATGTTTTTAAAATCCATGCATCTGATTATCCATTTAAATAAAAATTGTAGTTTTAAAAATGTTGAAAGTTATGCTGAATTGTCTTGTAGTTTTGGTCTCAACTCTCTAACCAAAGATAGAAGTGAACAATGAAAAGTCTTGGAGGCCATTACTCAGCTGTGTGGGCTGGTTACGCAAAGAGTCGTGATGCTGCTATTACCGACTCAGATGTTTCTATCAAACCTACACGCTCCACTGGTCTGTTGTAGCTTTTAGCATTTCACAAAAACAATGTGCAAAAGCAACCGCACTCTAAGTTCCATTTTCAGAAACCAAATTTAAATCCTTGGGGCATTTCCTTGATTAGGCCAGAAGGTGGTGCCAAAGTTAAAAGATACATGTCCACAGGGAGACACTACAGGCGGAACTAGACTATGTTTTTTTGGTCAGTTTTGTCTCTTAATTTATACAATTTCATGTGAAAACAACAGACTGTGTCCACTCTGCACCAAATGATGTTTAATATTTAATGCAGCCATAGAGTTAGATGGGACATTGTTATTTTGAAAGCTCTTTACCCCCCATGGAGCAGAAGGATCAGCCCTTAAAAGAACACCTACATACACCAAACTTATCAGTCTTGTACTGTAAACATACAGAAGGATATGGTCTTATTTATTAACATTTTAAAGCCAAAAAATAAGGTGAAATTTTAGGCAAGTTTTCAGTGAGACTTTGTTGATTCAAATAGGAAATAAGACACAAAAGAAAACACAATCTCCCCTGTACATTTTTTAGTATCTAATATGTCAACAAAATTAATTTAAACCTGGCTCCTAGAGGCGGGACGAGATACAATTTCCACAAGACGTGATGAGATTTTGACATTACTTATGCTATAATAAATACATTGTGCATTTCAGTTCCCAGTTTTAGTCTCATCATTTTTGATTTATTTTCTTTAATATTTCAGCTGTCAGTGTAGCTCTGCTTTGTGGCACTACGCATTCTCAAAAAATATAATTCACCAGTGCTCTTATTTTTTCAATCCAACTGTAAAAACATGAGGAAAAAATCCCACAAGATCATTTGTACTATGTGTGCACAATCCCGTGACAGTTTTGTCTCATGGGATCTTATGGCACGAGATCTTGTCCCATCCCTGCTCACTCTATCTATTTTTGAGATTCAAATGACCCAAAAATGATTAAATTTGGTCATTTTCACATGTAAAATGCCTTAAATGAAAACATGACATGATGAAAAACTTGTAATACATATACATACTACTGTACAATTTTCACATTGATAAAATAAAACTGTAGTTGTACTTCTTTAACTTTAGTTTTTCCTGACAAAAGCAGCCCTCTCTTTGTCCCATGTTCACGAGAGACAGAACAGACTACCGGTATTGATTTTCCATCTATGTGTTAGTGTACAGTTAAATGCTCACTAAACTAGGCTACTTCACAGCCTCATTATTGGACATTTGGTAAACAGCAGCAGCAGCTCCGGGTCAGAAACACTGTGGGTTTCATTTCAGTTTAATGTATTCTCTGTGATGAGAACAAAAACAGTCTCTATGCAGTTTTATATTTGACTCACTGTGGAGTTTCAACTTCTGTATTTCTGACTATAACTTCTTTAAAGTCCATCATGGAGTTCATATTTATGTAGCATAGATTCAAAACAACGGTCACTGATAAATTTTATCCTCCCCAAGTGCAAAACTCATTACATTATTCCTAAAATTCACTCAGTTTAAGGGATGTAATGATGTTAGAATCCCTTGATAAGATATTTTGTGGAGGCTTATAAAATTATGAATATGTTACTTTTTTCTTTTAAAAGCTCTGAATCTTAACCCTAATCCTGAAAAAAACCTTGAAAATCCTTTGGTACTGTTACAAAATGAAGAATTACGATTTAAAAGTGGTTAATAACAGTTATTTCATCTTGTTGTCTGCACTAACAAAACCAAAGGATCATGGTCTATAGAGTTCCCTCTGTTTTTTAGCTGTTGCTGTGGCATAGCAGGTTTATTTGTATTCACACAAATTTGCACATTTCATACACAAAGTCATTCAAAGTGATTTACAGAATAAGAAATACCTCAACATCACAAGCAAAGACGTTAAAAGCAAAGAGACTTGTGATTTGATATATTTTGTGAGGGCCTCCGATAATATTGTGAGACCTTTGATGATACAGTGTCATGTTATTTTGGTTATTGTCACATCCGTACTAAATTATTATCTTTCAACAGTCACATCCTGTTGATTTTAGCAGATTTTTAATGGGCCTGTGCAATACTTGTATTTATTTTTACTGTAAACAGATCTTGAGGTCAAAATAAGTCCACTGTGTACTGTCTGCATTTAAGTATGCAGGTTTTTTACGGTCTGAAGTGGTGAGGAAGGGCACAGTTAGCATGCTAGTTGTTGATAGCTTTACAGCGATGGCATAATTCAGCCACTGATCTCTGAATAGTTGTGAAAAGCACTTAAAAACTCATCATGGTGAGTCATTTGGATGCTCTGTACACGTAAGGTAAGTGAGGAATAACTTTGGACCAATGAACTAAAGAAGATTTTCATTAATTCATTAATCATTAAATTGATAGAGCATCTTTAAAGACACTCACAAAGCTTTACAGTGTACATTATTCATTCTCTCCGTACTCTGTGGTGGTAAGTGACTATTGTGACTGTGAGGCTCCCAGTTTGTGCCAACGGCCCCTCTGACCACCCCCATCACTCACACACACTTTCATACTAGACAATGTGGGTGAAGTGCCTTGCCTAAGCACACACCAACAGTTTTTGCCCCTGTTGCCCCTGTGTGGAATCTGATATTCCCAGTCGTCTCTAAAACTGGACGATGTTGCTCTTTTGGCTATAATCTCCCATAGTAAGACCAAAAAAACATATCCATGGAGGATGTTTTTTGTTTTTTTTATGAGCTTAAAGGTGCACTATGTAGCTTTTCTCCTGGGGTCCGTCACCTTCTTTTTTCTATGGAGATGTCATTGCCCTGATTAGAATGTTCCAGCATATGACATTAAACACATCTACTTTATATTTATTCGATTACAGGTGGTTTTATAGTTAAAAAATACATAGAAAAACAGACATTCTGACTGTGAGTGGGGTCGCCACTCCACAGATCTGATCTGTAACTTGGTCTGGATTGTTCTCCATGAAGATAGAAAGGTTTAATATCGTACTGTGAAACATTCCAGACAAAGTAATAACACCTCCATGAAGAAAAGTATTTGACAGACCCTCCACCACCAAAGTTACACAATACACGTTTAATGTCTAGACTAAACTCAACTAAACAAATAAAATCGCATTTCCAGACCCATCGTTTGGTCTTTACCTGGAGAGAAGAGCGCGATGGCCTTGAGGCAGCTGTACTCCGCTGAGTCCACCTGTAGTCTGGTCAGTTTGTCCACCTGGTCCTGGAACACTCTGACCTGGTCCATGAAGGAGACCACTCTCTCCGCTGACATGGGCGAGGAGTGGAAACCCGCCGCGGCCAGCAGGGGCGCCATGTGCAGGGGGAGGGCCGACTGCGCCGCGTTCAGGATGAAGAGTTCACTCCAGCTCAGACGAAGCAGAGACACCTGAGAAACAAACCATTGTCCATAACGATCACATTATACTTTGCCACGAAATATCCGAAAGGTAAATCCACAAATGTTGAACCTGGGATTTTCAATTAGTAACCCAAGAACATACAGTATTACAACATTATTTTGTATTTTAACAAGATTCATTTTAGCTCCCCCCATCTGTATTCAGTAATATTGTCCTATAAAATGGTGTGACGTCATCTGAAACCCACCAGTTGGAGTTAACGCCCATGTGTTGACAAACTGTTTTTGGTAGTTTTTAACGAGGAGGTTTTATAAAGAAGCATTTTATGGAGCTAAATTATTCCCTGATTGTGGGAAAGATGGACTGCGTGGGTAGTGTTGTGTTTTAGTTTTGTTTTTCCTTGAGTGAAGCAGAAAAGAGGGAGCCACCGTCTGTGTGAATGTTCATGTGTGTTAGCTTCTATGGGTTATTAACTGTCAGCACATATTTAGATGCCCATGTGACCTTTTATTTAGTGATGGGCAAATGAGTCGGAGCTCTGGAACACGTCTCGTTCTTTCTGAAACAAATCGCTCTGAAGCACTGCCTCGGAGCTCGTCTCGCAGCAGCCGCTCACGTGACCAAAGTGTGGAAGTGTCGGTCCCTCCCCCTTCTGCTTCACTCTGCGTGTCAATCGCTTCAGTGTATCAAAGCGTTTCATTGGCTCAGCGAATGTTCCGCTCTGCGATTGGTTCAGAGTGCTTCAGAGTGTTCAGCGCACTTCTGTGGTTTGACAAGCGCTAAACTGCTACAGTATAAAAGATGCACCAATATTTCTTAAAAATGTTGGGTAGTGAGGAGTATTGTGCGACGTTAGTGGTGATTTTGGCGACTTTTGGCATTTGTTTCATTTTCGTGGCATCTATAAGTGGAAAAAAAGCGATCCATGGTTTGGGATCACTTTGATCTAATTCCACCTAACAAGATCACCTATTTTCTTATTTACAGCTGCTATTTATGTTGCTCTTTACATATTATTTAAAATCATCATTATTATTATTGTTTTTGTTAGGTACGGTGTTGCTCTGAACACAAGTATTGTCTTACACTAACAATACTTCATCGATGCAGAGACACCTGCGTGCCAATGGTTAAATTTGTCCACTAGAGGTCAGTGTTTCTCCGAGGCCTCAGACACGTCCAACCATTTGAGACAATATTGCGACTGAGGTGTCAATGCTTCACGGGGCTCCACTCGCCCATCACTACTTTTATTGTTTTGAAAATGCTATATTTGCACATTAGCAGGGTTTGTAACATTCACTTCCATATTTGATGCTCTGTCCTCTAGACCTTTGCCTTATCTCAACACAATCAGTGTACATCCCACTAATGAAACCGCTGCACTTCCTACTGGGTGTGTGAAGTTGCTGCGCACAGTTTTGTATCCTGTTTTTATATATTTATGAAGAATTGTTGCATGCTTGTGGGCTGATCATTGCACAGAATCGTACAGCTGACCAAAAGGGTTAGGATTTATTCACGGCAGGAAGACGTTGGAAAACCTGCGATGGCAACTTCCGGTGTAGTTCCCGACACTGGACTCACCGACTGTTATCAAACCGACTGACATGGTTTAACTACATCAGAGGTAAAATGAAGACTGCAGACGTATGTGCTGTTTGAATTCATCTGGAATTTGGCCTCATCTCTTCTAATCACATGTACCAGTGTGCTCAGAGTTGTGTGTCAGTGGGAAATGATGAAAATTGATTTATGGTTGGAACTGTTGATTATCCGAACATAACGGAACACTACAATAACTTGGAGATGAAGAAAACTGGAACATTTTCTCATTTTTCCTAGATTTACTAACGCTTATATCGATATATCATATCACTTAATGTGCTGATACAGTATCGATATCGTGTCCTGCTGGAGCAATATATCGCCAAGAGTATTTTTAGGTATATTTTCCTAAATTATTTTGTTACAGCTACAGTTTGTTGCTTGTTTAGAGGAAGGAAACTTGTTTATGAGACACATTTGACATTTTCACCGTTTTGATGATTAAACTGTGCGTTTCCTATTAACTTTACACAAGACATAGTTTAACAAAGACTTTTAGTATCACAGCCATGATTTAGAAATGATTCTTTTTTAAACCATATCGAATCAATCTGAAATATATTGTATCGAATCGAAAGCTCACTGTATCGAGATATGAATTATATCGTGTCCTCTGTATCCAGGTATGCCCAGTTTGTGACATAAGTGTGAATAGAGTCTAAAGGGCCTGGGAGAGATCGCTAAATTACTGAAACACACATGAATGACAACTAAAACTTCTTCTGGCATGTTTCTGATAAGAGAACAACGTTATAACATAGTAGAAAGCTAAACAAATCATGAAAAAGAACTGAAAAGAGGGGGTATCAAGTATAGATATCAGCCAATGTGATATCAAAGAATATCAACCCAATACTGGAACCGATATATTGCCCATGTCTAATAAATTGTTCCATATTTGTGTCGACACCACTAAAAAAATACTGCACAAACACTTAAGGCTGAGGAAACAAGAATACGTAAAAAAGAGAGAGAGAGAACATACGAACTTTAAACAGAAGCAAAACACAAATCTCTCTCACCTGATCAGAGACGGGCAGCTCGGGGAAGTACGGAATATTGCGGGCCCACTCCACGATGCTGAAGAGGAGGCGTGCGGCCAGTTCGCAGATGTTGTCGATCCCCATGGCGTTGTCAGGGCCGCTCTGTTGGCTGTACTGGTGGCCGTACCGAGAGTTCGGGTACGGCTCCGCGCGGAGGAGCTGAGAGATGAGCTCGGACACCGGCTGGCCCCCTCCGCCGCCGCCGTTGTTGTTGTTGTTGTAGAAGTCGCCTCCACCCAGACCGCTGGCGCCCCCTATGGGAGTGATGGAGGGACTGAGGCTGGCCTGAGGGGGGATGCGGCCGCGTTGGACTGCTGTGGTGAGGGTTGGGAGCACAGGGGAGGACAGGGGGAGGAGAAGGGCACAGGAGAAGAAGAATAAGTTAAGGAGGAGTTACGGAGTGCTTTAAATCTGATTCAAGATTTTAAACACAATCCAGAACGGTCGTAAGTATCACAGTAGTCTAATGAGGTTCATTTGGTCTTCTGATATTTTATGTTATTAGGTTCTTTTTTCAGACCAAGACTTTGTTTTGATGCGTGACAGTTTCGACTGCTCACTAATGCTCTTCTTCAGAGTGGTCACGTGATGTTGCTGTGACGTGTCGGTCAGCTGATTTAAACAGGTTTTGGCGCTGTATTTCTACTGGTGAAGGCAGGATGACAGCGCCACCTGCAGTCCCACTTCCTCAGGACAGTATCCCAGGTGTGTGAGAGTAAAAAAGCAGAACAGGAACAACTCAAATCGGCAGTCTCTGACCATTGTAAAAGAGAGAACCACTGGGATGGAGCAAACATCATTGGGACAGAGGAAAACAAACATTGCCACTGGATTAAAGAGGCAATTGAAATATGAAAACATGCCCACAGGACGTTAAACTCGGGACGAGGGGCTTTTTTACTCTCACACACCTGGGATGCTGTCCTGAGGAAGTGGGACTGCAGGTGGCGCTGTCGTCCTGCCTCCACCGGTAGAAAGACAGAAACAAAACCTGTTTAAATCAACTGAACGCACACGTCACAGCAACATCACATGACCACTCTGAAGAAGACCGCTAGTGAGCAGTCGAAACAAACTCTTGGTCTGAAAAAGAACCTAATAACATAACATAAGTATCACAGTTTTATGTCCACTGCAACATAATATTCTGATCAAAGTGTTCACGAGGTTGTAGGTTTATTCAGTTTCAGAAGATGTAGTCCTCCATAAACTGAGCTACACTGCTTTAAAGAGGAAAAGTATGAATAATAGTATTTATTCACTAAAAATAAACATACAGAAGGCAGCTCAGTCTTTACAGTTATGCCACAGACCAAATTACGGGTCAGATCTGAGGAGCAGTGACCCCTGACAACAATAATGCATGCTTTTTAGGTATTTTTGAGCAGTACAAACAAATGTGATGCAACAAATGCCCGTGGGACATTAACCTTGCGCAGAAAGATGGATTCTCACAATATTTTTAAGCTCAAAAGTCTCGAGAGTCCATTTGGAATGCTCCCACTGAAGAGATGGATCCTGCCGCTGGTTGGCAGACCAATGACAGAGCAGCAACGAGGTTTGGGTCAAAGCCAAAGGTGAAGCACACAAGTGAACCGAAACAAACTCACGTACTTCAGCCTAAAAAGGTCCTGCTAACTCAGATTTGTAGAACGCAATTTAGAGTCCTACACATTTCATGTTGTGGCATTGCCCTCAAGTGAAACTATTTTGGAAGGTGTAGCTGATAGGCTGTCTGTATGTTTGATGAGCAGATCTCTCCTTGTCCTTTGCTGTGCCAACTTGGAATAAGACCTCAGGACGTTTTATCCCAAAAACTGGACCATATATCATCACTGGGTTTTTTAAATCAGCTAAACGTGTTATTATGATGAATTGGAAGGAACGTAAACATAAATGCTTTGTCAAAGACCATTTGTACTAAGACTTTTTGGATTTAAGTTCAATGGAACAGGCTGCTCAGTTGTTGGACACAAAAAACAAACACACTGTTGGCCCATGGACTGTGGCAAAACCCCATTGGGGCAAACTACAATAAAATAGAATAATATACTGGTACATGAAAAGGAAAATGTCAAAACAGCACATGTACTGTATGTGTACATATTTTTCGGACTATATATCGCTCCGGAGTATAAGTCACACCAGCCAAAAAATGTGCAATGAAGAAGAAAAACACACATTTTAGGGGAAATGTATTATATAACATCAGGGACAAGGAACCAACATTTTATCTTGAAAGACAAGTTCTAGTACCAACAGTAGAATAAATAACAGCCTGAATAAATGTTAATATGTTAACATCACATTTGATTTCAGATAATTATAGCATAAACAAAAGAACGTAAGTTTACCAAACTCTCCATCTCACGCCAAATCACTAAATCCATTGAAGTAATTGAATTCTTCATACTCTGTCACTTCTGAGCAACTCCGCACAACTTCGGTTGTCACTGAAGTCCATACTTTGTCATCCAGTGACTTCAGGAAAGTTGCATGGTGCACACTCCCAGTTATCGTGAAGCTGTGTTCTCCATCTCCACTTTCCGTCAGTCCCTCACAAGTTTCTCACTCACTCCAAACTTTTCTTTCTGCTGCTCGACTACAGTTTTCTGCGGCATATTTCACTACTTGCAGCAGGACAAAGGCTCTTTTTGCAGGAGACATGCGCAGAAACCCGGCACACAAGCCTAGAGCCTCTCGCAGCTGTCAGTCTGAAAATGTTAATATCTAAGTCTCATTGGAGTTTAAGTCACAGGAAACACCCAAACCATGATAAAAAGTGCCACTTATAGTCCAAAAAATATGGGGTTGCCAAAAAAAAAGATTAAAAAACAGAAAACAAAAGATATAAGGGAAAAGAAAATATATAAATGCAAATTTAATTTGACAGCCCTAAAATGTAAATACACACATGTAATCACTGCATTGAGAAAATCTGTACTACACTACACACTTGTTCTTTTGTTGCTAGTTTTTGTTGTGTTTTTGTTGTGTTTTTTGTTTGTTTTGTTTTTTGTATGTGTGTTAGTTTTATATTTTGTTATATCTTATGTTTATTTGGCTCACTGCAGACTGAAATGTGTAGGTTAGGATAATATATTTTTTACTTCTTTAAACATTCAATTTTAGAGTTCAAAAGCAGCAAAATCACACAGACAGACAGACAAAGAATACTGAGGCTCGTCTGTAATACTTTCCAACAATAATCCTCTGCCCTGCATCTGAAACACCCTTGAAACAAAGCTCTATACTCTTCACTCACACCAGAGGAGGCCTGGCTAACCTCAAAAATACCCCCCGACCAGCCGCCTCGCAGACGCTCCACTGAGCTCACATATATATGCATCTGGAGCTCTGTACGTCTGCTCTGATTATGCGTCCTGGAGGAGGGAGACAGCGGCGGATGTGCGGCCATTAGCGAATCTGCCCGTGACCTTTGACCCATCTGGCTGTGGGGGAGGGGGAGTCGTCGTCTTCGGGGGCTAGTAAAGTCTCCCATTAGGCTGCTTCACGGTGATAATGGGGATGAGCAAACAGTTATAAATCACAAAGAAGGGATAAAAGCAGGTTAGGTGGAATTTACGACGGGAAAGTAAAAAAAATTCCTTGCATTTTTGGATCATACTGAAGATGTTTTTGGATAAAATAAGCAATAATCCTCTTGACATGTCGTCTTAAAGATGCTGTCCCAATTTTTCTCTTGTATTTAGTTTCTCAAAATGCCCCAGTACAGATATATTATTTAGAACTATCTACATTTAATTAGAAACCATTTTACTGTCCGATAATCAGGAATTACACTGTTAGCATGCTAGTTGTTAGCATTACTGTGAAGGCAAGCTCCGCTCTCGTCATTGAGAGTTATAAAAAGCACAAAAAAACTCATCATGTTGAATAATTACGATGCTCTGAATGCATAAGGGGAGTGAGGAAGAACTTTGGAACACCGCAGACTGTTAAGAATGAACTAGTTCTGTTGTTTATGTTTTTAAGACTGTAAAAATCTTATAGACGGTATTTAAAAAAGCACAAACATATTTTTCGGACTATAAGTTTCCTGCGGTGCGACTTATATATTCTTATTTTCACTCTGACAGGCACAAGAGGCTCTAGTCTTGTGTGTCAGTATCTTCTACTACTGTACCACTGTCACTTCACTCTACTGTGCATGTCTCCTGCAGAAAAACCTGCAATCCTGCTGCAAGTAGTGAAATATTCAGCTGAACAGAGTAATCGAGCAGCAGAAAGAAAGTTGTGAGGAACTGACGGAAAGCGGAGATGAACACAGCTTCACGGTAACCTGGAGGGACCACAGTGCAACTTTCCTGCAGTCACTGGATGGATGGACAAGGCCTGAACTTCAGAGACAACTGAAACCATCCTGTTGGGATTCAGAAAGACCAGGATAATTCTAAGTGGAACTGATGCTGAGTCTGACAACAGCGACACAGAAGAGTTTGCGGCGCTCTGTTTACCTCCGGAGGTCGAGGCCGAGTTGTTCAGAAGTGACACCGAGGATGAAGAACTGAATGGATTTAGTGATTTGGAGTGAGATGGAGTTTGTTAAACTTGTTCTGTTCTGTTGTTTATGCTATAGTTATCTGAAGAACTGTTCATATGTGACGTTAACATATTAACACCTGTTCAGTCTGTTGTTCTTTATTCTTTTGTTATAACTTGCCTTTCATGATGAAATGTCAGTTCGTGGTGTCTGATTTTATAAAAGACTTACAGTCCAGTGCAACTTATATATGTTTTTTTCTTCTTCATTACGCATTTTTTGGCTGGTCCGACTTATACTCTGGAGCGACTTACAGTTCGAAAAATATGGTATTCCAGGGAGAATGTTACTACTTTACCTGTAATGTTCCAGAATATGGCATTAAACTTGCATTTATTCAATTAAGGGTGTTTTTATTGGTCAAATATACGTGTAAAAACATGTATTCTGTGAGTAGGATGACCTCTTCACAGATCTCGCCTGTAAATTGGCCTGGTGGCACCTCCTGCTTGTCTCTATGGAGATTGATAAGTTTAATGCCATACTCTGGAACAACGCAGCAAAGCAATAACATCTCCATGGAGTAACTGAAAGTAACTGATGGGCCCTTTACCAAAAAAGTTACATCGTGCACATTTGAGGGATTTTTAAAGCAGCAGAAACACCAGTAATTTAATAAAAGTCAGAGAGATATATTTCCTGTCACTGTAGAACAATTCAGGCAAGACAATAAAATCTTAATTGAGCCGTTTTTCAAATACACCTCAAATTTCCTGTGCTGTTTAGGGACCTGTTTAACCCCGTGTCTTAAGGCCAGACTTTCCTGACTGAGTGAATTCATTTGTCTCAATAGATCTGTATTGATTGCGGGCTTAGGGGCAGATCAGCAGCAGATGTTTGTCCAGATTTAACAGGGGCTTACAGAGCCACAGGTGTGAAAGCCCGTAGATCCCTCTGTCACTCGCTACGTTTACAGGCACGCCGTGGAAAACTGCCCTAATCCTGTTTAAACCGATTATTCAAAATGCACAGAAACCCAAGAACTATCAATGAAGTGTTGTGTGTTGTGGTTTGAATACATTACGCTCAGATTAGGAGAGGCATCCAACTGCAGGAGATAAGAAACACCATCATTTTAGATCAGCAGCAATGACAGACTGAGGCCTCTCCACCGCCCACTAGCACGTGTTGTTTCATTATTTTGGATCACTACATTAAATTGAGTATATAGATGCATAGTTTTAGTGCTAATACTAAATTACTAGATGCACCTGAAGTTCTTTTAGCCCCCTGTTCACACCATATACTATACAGAGAAGAGGACTGAGCAACTCCCTGTTGTTTTGCTCCCTACAGCTGACCAATCAGGTGCCTACTTCCCCTGAGATCGGTTGTTCTTGTCTTGTTTATATCTTGATTTATGGACAAAATAACTAAATAAAAACACCACAATCACTTACAGAATTGACAGAGAACCTGACAAGTCTGATGCAGAGAGGAGGTGACCATTTTTCACTACAAAGGGAATTGAAAACAGACGTTAAGCACTCAGTTCGGACCCCTGCTAACTTCCTATGTGAAACACGGTGACTGGTGGGCTACTATCTCCCCTCTACACTTTATGGTTCACACCAAGGCTGGGTGTCATCCAGGAGTTGCCAATATGACACATACCTCGATACATAGGCCACGATACGATACACACCTCAATGCAGTGAGCTTACGACTCGATACGATTCAATATGATATATTTCAATACGGTTCAATAAAATGTGACTCTAAAAATGTTTGTTAAAACACTTCTTGTGCAAAGTTCATATGAAACACACCCATTTTACTCATTAAAACAGAGAAAATGTCAAATGGGTTGCATAAAAAAGTTTCCTTTCCAACAAAACTGTAGTGCTATAACAAAATAATTTTGTTAAATACACCAAAAAATATAGTCATGAACACGAAAGGATGAGATCACGGATACAAGTGGTCGAAATGAGTTTCCTCTGCAGGGTGGCCGGGCGCTCCCTTAGAGATAGGGTGAGGAGCTTGGAGTAGAGCCGCTGCTCCTCCACATTGAGAGGAGCAGTTGAGGTGACTCGGGCATCTGTTCCGGATGCCTCCTGGGCGCCTCCCTCGGGAGGTGTTCCGGGCATGTCCCACCGGGACGAGACCCCAGGGAAGACCCAGGACACGCTGGAGGGACTATGAAGTCTGAAGGACTATGAAGGTGAAGGAAGTCTGGGAGTCCGTGCTTAGACTGCTCCCCCACGACCCGGCTCCAGATAAGTGGAAAAAAATGGATGGATGGACACCAAAAAATACTTTTGGCGATATAGTGACACAGCAGCCCAAGATGTCAATACTGTATCATCACATTAAAGGATACAATATATCGATATTTCAATATTTTTGCACAGCCCTTGTTCACACCTCTTTGTTTTTCTGACCTGAATGTAGACTGGGGCAGGAGTGCTCTGGGGTAAAGTCATTCTGAACTGGGTTGTTGACCAAAACTGTGGAGTGAGCTGCCTGTGCACATTAGACAGGCCCCTTCATTACCTGTTCTAAATTTTTCTTGTTCACTTTGACCTTTGACATACTTTGAGATGTTGGAATTCTTTATTTTGATTGAATTGTTTTATTGTGAGTGTTGGAGTTGAAGTGGCAGTGTAGCGCACTCGGAGTTCCGTGTAGTGAGTGAAGAGCAGTCAGTGTATGAAAGCTCTCTCACCGGCAGTAACACTGATCTGACACACATGAGTGACTGAGAGGAGATAGGACCAGACACATGTCAGCTCACTTACTGCTGTTATGACGGCACTGGAGAGGTACACAGCGGATTTGAGTCACTGTGGTCGGATAAAGAAAATATATTCTCAGTATCGCTTATGGGTGGGCGATACTGACAGAAAAATAATATAGTCTTTATTTTACTACGCAGATGATGGTGTTCGGACAATATTATAGCAATCCATCAAAAATGTGTCTGTAAATGTCTTTGTATCACACACAATGTGAATGGACTTTAAAATTAACCACAAAAGGTGCAGAAATATCAGTTTGACACAATGTTTGAAGAATTACATGGTTTCAATATTTTGTTTTACCAATTTTTCCCTTGTATTTAGTTTTTCAAAATGCCCCAGTACAGATAGATTGTACTAGCAGCTCTTGAGGTTGTGTCCGTGTACTATCTGCATGTAATTATAAAGCATTTTACTGTGCACTGTTAGCATGCTAGTTGCTATAAGGATTACCATGATGGCAAAATTCCAGTCTGGAGTTGTGAAAACCACTTAAAAACTCATCACGGTGAATAATTCGGATGCTCTGAATGCGTAAGATAAGTGGGGAATAACTTTGGACCACTCTAAACTGTTTACATGTATGTCTATGGCAGAATGTTCAGCGGTTACCATGGTGATACAATCCACACATTAGCAAACACAGCCTGATACGTATTTGGCTTGTCTGAATACTCAAGAACATCACATTTCCAGAAGCCTGTGATCAATACGAGCTTTCACGGTCACCAAAAAACATTTTTATGGCCCCGACCTAATGGGGGTCACTCTGGAGAAAAATGTTGGGAGGGACTGAGCCGCTGGGAGCACACGGGCACTACCAGCAGTTTGTGGTGTAGTAGTGAGAGTAGTTACCTTCTTTGCGCATGCCCACTCGGAAACACTTCTTCAGACGGCAGTACTGGCACTGGTTCCTGTGGTGCTGGTCGATCTGACATTCTCGATTTGACCTGAAGAAAATGTAAAAAAAACAATAACAATTTAGTATTTTGAGGTATTAAATGTGTACTTTACATGTATGATGATGATATGACTTTATATCTTTGTGTGTTTCCCAAAAAGAAAAAAAATGAGCATGCTTCTAATTTTGTATTTGAGCAAAGCGCCACCTTGTGCCTTCACTCAGTTTCATTTCTTTCCAGAGACTAGGTCAGGAATCAGAATAAACAAGACGGTTCACAAAAACCCCGGAGGTGCAAGTTCAGGCACCAGCCAATCAGCAAAGAGACAGACATTCTGTGTTGGCAACGATTCCCGAGATCGAGGATTTAAAGCCAGAACAAAGAGAATGTTTGTTGAATTTTATCAAGGGGAAAGACGTTATTGTTCTCCTTCCTATAGGATTTGGGAAAAGCTTAATATAAAAATTAGCCCCATTAGCGGTGCATTACACACCAAATAGCAGCGATTGGGTAAATGATAAAAAGTAGCCGCCTACTGTCGAGCAAACAAATCCTAACACTGCGAGGTCAGACGATTTCTATGAAGTGAAACCAGCTGATGAATCGGGCTAAGTTTGTCTTGCCCCAGGGGTCAAATAAGTCAGCTTCATTTTGTCCGCATTGAATTATAAAGCCTTGTCCGATGTGTGATTGTCTAGTTTCATTGTCTATTATCATCACAGCAAAACTCCACTCTTATCTCTGAAAGTTGTGAAAAGTGCTTATAAACTCATCTCCGTGAATAATTAGGATGCTCTGAATAGGGCTGTGCAAAAATATCGAAATATTGTATCGTTTAATGTGATGATACAGTATTGATATTGTGGGCTGCTGTATCGATCGAGTATTTTTAGGTATATTTTACTAAATTATTTTGTTACAGCTACAGTTTTGTTGTTTGTTTAGAGGAAGGAAACTCATTTATGCGACACATTTGACATTTTCACTGTTTTGATGATTAAAATGTTTGTGTTCCATATGAACTTTATACAAGACGTAGTTTAACAAAGATTTTTAGTATCACAGGCATGATTTAGAAATTATTCTTTATTAAACCATATTGAATCAATTTGAAATAAATCGTATCAAATCGAAAGCTCACTGTATCGAGATACGTATTATATTGTGTCCTCTGTATCCAGGTATGCCCAATTTGTGACATAAGCATGAACAGAGTCTAAAGGGCCTGGGAGAGATTGCTAAATTACTGAAACACACACGATTATTTTTTTTGAGATTGTGACGGATGGTGAAAGATGATGAGGGGAACTGATGATGGTGAAAATAAATATTATTTTGAGTATAGGGACTAATAAAAAAAAAAAATTCTAATAAAAAAAAAAAAAAAGGAAAGAAAAGGAAGGAAGAGAGACAAAAGGAACTTCATTTATGAATTGGCTGCAGTGTGTCGATGTTGGGAGCCTGGTGGTGTGTTTGTGTTGCACTATCACATTTATATTATTTTGACTTTGTGTTGGTGTGGGTGGTTGGGGGAAGTGGGGGGGCTTTTTGTATTTGTTGGGGTGTTGTGGTTGTTGTTTTATGTTTTTGTTTTGTGTTGAATATTGTAATTGTTAAACGTTGATGTTTGTTTTATTTTTTTTAAATGTTATATTCTGTTGTCTTTAATAAAAAAAATTAAATTAAAAAAAATAAAAAAAACACACACGAATGACATCTAAAACTGTGATCTAACAAAGACTTTTAGTATCACAGACATGATTTAGCCTTTATTTTTACTTGAACCGTATCAAATCGATTTGAAATATATCGTATTGAATTGAAAGTGCACTGTATCGAATTATAATCGTATCGTGGCCACTGTATCGAGGTATGCATCGTATCGGCAACTTCTTATTGATATCAGCCCTAGCTCTGAATACATAAGATAAGTGCGGAATAACATAGGAAAACTGTAAACCATTTCAAATCATTTAGTTCTGTTTTCCACGGTTGTAAGAGAGTACAAACAGGTACGGCCTCTTTAACACTCAAGACCACTTCAAATGTAAGTGTTTTACTTCGATGGAGCTGACATCCATTTGTTTCTATGGAGATGTCGTTGCTCTGCCTGGAATGTTCCACAGTATGACATTAAACAGCTCTACTTTACATTTATTCAATTACAGGTGGTTTTATAACACAAAAATAACAACTGTCCACAGATCTGACCTGTAACTTTGTCTGGTTTGTTCTCCATGAAGATAGAAAGGTTTAATGCCCTACTGTGAAACATTCCAGACAAAGCACTAACATCTCCTCGCAATGCAGCTTTAAAATGAGTTTGGATAACCTTCTCGATGCAATTTAGCTCAACGCGTGGCTGTGCATTTGGATGACAATAACGACCAAACATCTGAGCCTGGTGCACATTTTTGAAGTGCAGTTGTGGATTCATTTTGTGGAAGTACTTGGGAGGGACTGAAAGCATCAATATTACATTAGTTTGCACACTGGCCATTAAGCTGGCGGCAGTGTCACCCTCAGAGACAACAGATGCTCGGAGTACATTGGTGATTTTAGCGAGAAACATTTTTCTAACACGTCCTTTTCGAGATATGAAATGTGTACGGCTGGATACGGCGATTACTGACTTGAAGGTTTTTCTGGTGGAGGGTTCGCCACATGCTTGTCTCCATGGAGATGTTACCGTTTTCCCTGGAATGTTCCGTGTTATGACATTAAATATAGACTACATCCAGCTTTTATTCATTACGCGTTTTTCTACTGCTACTCTGTGAATAGGCTCGAATCTCCACAGATCTGAACTGTAATGTAGCGTGGTGCTGTAACCTGCTTGTCTCTGTCATGATAGACAGGTTTAATCTATACTGTGGAACATTCTACACAAAGTAATAACATTTCCATGGAGACAAGCAGGTGACAGACCCTCTACTACAAAATGTTTCCCAGTGCAGCTTTAAAGAAGAATACTAATACTGCCATATTAGTGTTGACATGGTACTCAAATTTGAAACTCGATTTCGATACTAACGACTGGATACCAATGGACAATACCGATACTGATACAATGGTGATAATTAGGGATGGGCATTCGATGAAATTTTCTTAATCGATCATCGGAAGAATTAACAATCGATTATCGATTAATCATTAACATTTTTATATTAAAATGATCATCATTATTATTACTATCTGCACTAATCTGCATAAATAAATTCAACTTTACGACAAATAAACCATAACCACTCTAGAGCCACATCAGCCCGTTTGACATTATAATAGGTTTAATTAAATTTTGTGCAACTTTCACAGAAAAGAAATTTAAAACTGCATCGCTAATTTGCATAAATTAAGCGAAGATAAAACTACAGCTCTTGTGTCGCTGATGCGGTTTCTGTTGGATTAAAAGACATGATTCAGTGGAATACAGGTTAGTGTGACCAGATTTGTGTTTGTCAAAACCAGGACACCGTAGGGGGGAGGGGGGCGGGGCCTCGTCATCCACATTGAGCGACTCTCACCTGGTAAAACTTTTTCCCACTGGACACAGAAACATATGTGCTGCTTTATCCACTGTGCACATGGACTCACACTTGTCCCGAACGCAACGGAAAGCGTAGAATTTCTTGTACAAATCATCGTTAAACACACATTTGTGCTTCGGTACGTTGCAGACTGACCCACTGTTTCTGAGTGCAGAGATCTACAAGTACACACCTGTTTGGTCAGGCTACGCACAACAACCTACATTCGGTTTGTCAATTAAAATTAACGTAATCGATGAAATTCTTGATCAATTATCGATTAATCATGCCCATCCCAAGTGTTGACATGGTACTAAAATTTGAAACTCGATTTCGATACTAACGACTGGATACCAATGGGCAATACCAATACTGATACAATGGTGATAATACAAACCCACATTTTCTTTCAACAATAGAATGTGATTTTCAACATTAATCATAGCTTTTTAAAAATATTCCCATGTGATCTTATATCTGTGAATGTGACATTTTTAGTATCAAAATTTGTTCTGGTTTCGATACTAATTTTATTATGAGTTAGTATCTGGTTTTCGATATTTATGACAATCCTACGCTCCGTATTATACTGTTTCAATCTATTCTTTATTCATGCAGTGCCTGATCTAGTTTTTAAAAGCTAAATGGACCAAATTGTGAACATATGCCCACATTTTTGAGTGGAGAAGAATAAAGGGAGTCTTCTTTCTTTTATATTTAATGTATTTATTATTCATTTAATAAGGTTATTATTTATTTAAATTGACTTACTATTCATTTAATAAGGTTAAAAAATAAATAAATACAGAGAAAACATGCTGTAAGTATAAGATCAAACCATGTTCATATGTAGAAAGGTTGTACGGTGAATAAAATGGTATTATACAGCTCACAGCTACTTTAAAAAACTCTAGTAAATGAAAGTGAAATTATTTTTTGTCATGTTTCACAATCTTGTGTTTATTTACACCAGTCTGGTCACGCTGGTTGTGTAATTTCAGCTCTCTTTCAGACTATTCTGTTGTAGTGTCACTGAGCAAGACACTACACAACTCCTGTGCCTTTAATATCTATGTACATGTTTGTATGAATGCATCGCGAGTTTTGTTCATTAATTACAACTGCCCTGGTCAAGAAAACAAAATACAAAATAATGGATTCTGCTCTTGGTCTATGCCAGGGGTGGACAATTATTTTTTCCAAGGGGCCACATGAGAAACAGAAAATATTGTGGAGGACTGGGCCAAAATACTTAACTCAATTCTGCATAATATTAATTGTATTTCATTATTAAAAGCAGTAAATAGCAATGTTTAGACAAGCTTCTCAGACTGGGAAGAGTTTATGTACTGACAAAGAAATGAAAAAGTGAGGTTGCCTTACAAAAATGTTATTTAATAAACACCTCTGAAATAAAAGCAATACAGCTTTAGTCCAGGCATGAGGTACAATTATAAAATAGATTTATTTTGTAAATCCAAATGATCTTAAATGGGCTGGTCAGAGTCAGCCAAAGGGCCGTATGTGGTTCAGGAGCTGAACAATGTCCAGGTTCTGGTCTATGTGGTTCCTCTGTTGTTATCAAAGAGCTTTAACAAAACAATGTATTTTAGACCCAGGAGCCAGATGCTCTTTAAAACTGCAGAAGTCCACTTTTATATTTACTTGCTGTTATAATACAAAAGATAAAACGTATTTTGAACAGAAATCATCATCATCATCATCTGAATTAGTAATTTTTGAGTTGTCCACAGATTAATAAAAGTGTAAACTATAATTTGACTTTAACTTATAATATTTGTTCCATATTTAGTTCATGTGTTGTATATAAGCACAAGGACAATCTGGTTACAGCGTCAGCCTTATGAAAGGGTTTACAATGTTTTTTTGTTTTTTTTGTTGCAGTACCTCCTGCAAAATGATTCTGCAACTTTTGTTACTGTGATTTTTTATTTATTTTTTTGTTATGTCTGGTAGGGGATCTTCAATTTGTGTGTTACTGTTTTGCCTCAAATGTTCCACAGCATAACATTAAACTTACCTATCTTGCATTTATTCAACTAGAAGCATATTTATTGCTCAAAAATACCTTCAAAATCATGTATGTATGTATGAGTAGACTCCTCTCTCCACAGATTTGACCTGGTGACACAGCCTACTTGTCTGCATGGAAATAGATAACGTCGAATGCCATACTGTGGGGCATTCCAGGACGCAGCAACAACATCTCAACAACATCACAATTAAGCTTTAATCCATATCATACCGTCATAAAGCGTCTTTAAGTTACTGCGAAAGCACTATATGTCTTATTATTATTATTATGTACAAAAATTACCATTATTCTTCCATCCATCGACTCCCCCTCCCTCCATCCCTCCTTCCCTCCTTACCTGCAGGTGTAGCTCAGGTTCCTCCTCACGCTCCTCTTGAAGAAGCTCTTGCAGCCCTCGCAGGTGAAGACGCCGTAGTGCTTCCCGCTGGACTTATCTCCGCACACCACGCAGTCCACCACGCAGGCCTTGTCGTCCTCCCCGGCCTCCATGTCGCTGCCTCCTGCCTGGGGAGAGCCGTCCTCCTCCTCCCCCCGCAGGTACCCCTTCTCCCCCAAGCCGTTGGTGCCCCCGTTTGGATCTCCCCAGCCCCCACTCACCATGGCCATTTCTTGGTTACCCCGCCAGAGAATAGAAAATTGGACACGCACCCAAACTTACTGGCTGCTGTCACACAGGAACATGTATATTATGGGTTCTGTGATTGAAAAGGTCACTCTTTCAAATGCATGACCATAACCTTCTTCTTGGGAGTGAAATGAATTGTTCCCACGAATTTTACAGATTTTTTTTTTCAAAGATTTGTCGTGCTTGCAAAAAATAAACACACAAAAATATCCCCAAGCTTTAAAACCAGATGTTAAAGTGAAAAAAGGAAAAAAATGGGTTTGAATTGGGGCGTAAAAACAGCACTCGGCTTGTTGTCTCCTCCCCCTCCACTATGACCTGGAAACAATCTCCAAGTGTAGCAACTTTTTCTGCGGGCTACAAAATATCCCCCAAAATGTTCCCTGTTGTGTCTTTAAAAGCAGTCTAACGCACAGTCGGCTCGATATGTGGGCCAGCTCCTGAGGTGGTGTGCGTCCGATGCCTCTCCAAAAGCTAGGTTAGCAGCCAGGCGCCGTTTCAGGAAACCTTTAACGGGAAACAGTCGTAAACAAAACCAGTTATTACGACATTATTACCATATAAACACGTTATAATACATAATGAGCTTCAATAAAACGCTTTAGACACATTACGCGTGTGGTTAGGTTTGTTAGAAGGGCGAAACGCGCAATTTGTCCAGTTATCGGCTGGGTCAGCTCACGGATGGGTGAACGGTAATGGCTGAAAATGGACTTCATAGCTCGCCAGGTTAGCTAGCACATGCTTTGAAAGCTCTTACAAGCTTTCAGGCAGTGACTCTAGCACAAAAATGTTTCTAATTGCCTTTAAAATAATCGTAAACCGCGTAAATCTCAACGCTTTTAGTCGCCACGCTTACCAAAACGCGTTAGCTCGCTCCCCTTGGCTCCGTCGGACGCTAAATCCTCGGCTCTTCTATCCGACCAGAGGGGCTGTCTTTCTGCCGTAATAATCCTCTCAGCATCGTGCCAGCTGCTTCTCCGTAAACCACGATAAAGATATCCAAGCGTCTTGAGATCAAAACAGATGAATCGTGCGGAGAAGCGTGGTTTCTGTCGGTGCGTAACGGAAGCGGCGGGGACGATCGCGCTCCGTCCGTCCGTAGAGCTGCAAAGGCGAAGACGTGGACGGGTCTCTCCGGTCGAATCAACCCGCTCCTGTGCCTCGGGAGAAGGGGGGAAGTCTCGAAGCGGCGTCCCTGGAGCTACGGAGCCCGACACGGTCCCAGTAAACGTGCGCGTTCAGAGCTCCATGGCTGGCTCCCACTGGCTTTCACCCCCCAGTCTTTTGTCAGTGTTTGCCCATAAGACCTAATGACTGGCGGCCTCTTTAGCGTTAGCTGTGTGTGTTTGGCTGCTGCTCCACCGCGTCCGTGCTTCCGAGTGTGAGCGCTCGTCTGTGGGCTCCCTCTCTCTCGGGTTAGGTGGGGGTGGGAAAGTCAAATCACATTACAAGAGCTTGGTGTAGTTCCGATCTTTTCTCCTCTTTGGCTTTTTCTGTGCGCAGGGCCGTTTCTAACGATGTGGAGGCAGGGTGACCAGGATTTCAAAATAAAAAAAACAGGGACATCCCCGATTTTCTGGTGGTTTGTAATAATAAAATTGAGAAAAGGATGCGTAATGAAGGAAGACTGTTACGCAGAGACCATTCATGACTAACATAAGTCAATATAATCACATTTTCTTTGTGTTTTGGTTGTTTTTAAGCAGCTTTTTTGTATTTTACCTAAACAAATTACAATGTATGTCTGTCTTTATTATTGGAGGGGATCAAATTGGTCAAAAATAGGAACACCTTGGACATTTCTTGTAAAACTGGGACAAATCAGTGGTTTTGGATAAATCTGTTGGGACAGAGGACACAGGGCTCAAAACTGGGACTGTCCTGAGTAAATAGGGACGTCTGGAGGCCCTGGAGTTTGGGGAGTATTCATAAATTGTGAAGATTATAGCAAATTTCCTCTTCTCTGGAAATTAATTGATAAAAGTAATATGAAGAGAACAATTTCCTTAACGTAGTCATGTGGGTATTTTAAGTTACAGGATTAGTTTACATGACACAAATAGGAAAAAAGAACTGCAAAATGAAATGATCCATATTATTATACTATTTTTAAATGTTTGTTATGTGTGTCTTCATCAAAAACATATCAGGGGTTGTGTTTTGTTTCATTCACACATTTAACACGTGAATCCTGCACAATATAGGAGTTTTTCTCTCAAATTGAAAACACTGTTCCAATTTGTGAGTTTTTAGTAATATGCCTACAGGAAGTGCTCCACTGTATTTGGATCATTTTAGTTCTGGGATTATCATTCTACTGAACAAAAGGTAAAAAGCTGCTGTTCACTTGAAAACTACCACTACATGACATCACAAAGTGGGTCAGAGCATTCTGAGCTTTAGAGACAGACTAATAATAAAGAGTTACTCAAACTTGTGTGAATGAAACAAAACACAACTCCAGGTCTGTTTTTAAGGAGAGAACAACATAAAACATGGCTTAAACAGTTGATTTTGTGTAATGTCCGACCTCTAATCATTATCGATTCAAAATTGCAATATGAGATGGTGTAATTATCTGCAGTTGTAAATAGAAGCTTCACTGTAAAGAACAAAATATCTTGTCTTTTTATAGAATAATCTTGTGTGCAGTTTAGACACGTTCTGAAACACATGGGACAGTTGTATTAATTTGTCATTTCGGATTTCAGTCCTCTCTCAAATGTTAATATTATAGGTTGTTTATTAGTCAGGCTGGTGCCACCTAGTGCCTCCGCTCAGTTTCATTTCTCTCCAGTGATTAGGTCAGGAGTCAGAATACACTAGACCACAGGTGTCAAACATAAGGTCCGGGGGCCGGATGCGGCCCTCCAAGACCTTTAATCTGGCCCTCTGCTGATTTTCTACTAAAATATTTTAATTATAGTTTCTATTAAAATATTGGTAATTTTCTGCGGTGCTTAGCATAGTGGCTCCTCCCACCAGAGCAGCACAAATGAAGACTTGCCTTTTTCCAAACGCTCTTAAAGGACGATCGTTTTTACCTCATCAACAAAATGTCAAAAATGAGAAAAGTGGAGCCAAGTGCAGGATTTTCCAAGAAAAACTGACTTATTCCTATTTGCATACAAGTTAATGTTAAAACATTGTGTTGAAATTGCATTTTTCCTAAAGTTTCAGGTTGTTCATAATATTATAATGTTTTGTAAAAGAAAGAGTTCATCAATTAAAAAAGATTTCTGTAATAGATTTGTCTTTCTCTGCACAAATATTTGAATTGATTGTTATTTTTGGGGTTTATATGACATGAGTTTTCTGATCCAGCCCCTTTGGGATCAAAGTAGGTTGGACACGGCCCCCGAACCAAAATGAGTTTGACACCCCTGCACTAGACGGTTCGCAAAAACCACCAAAGTGCAAATTCGGACACCAGCCAATTAGCAAAGAGACAGACATTCTGTGTTGGCAACGATTCCAGAGATTGAGGATTTAAAGCCGGAACAAAGAGAAAGATGTTATTGTCCTTCTTCCTGTGGGATTTGGGAAAAGTTTAATATACCAGTTAGCCTGCCTACCTTGAGTGAACAAATTCTAATGCTGCGTGGTCAGACGGTTTCTACGAAGTGAAACCGGCTGAGGTAACACCACAAATTTAACAGAGAAAAAATAACAATAACAAGTGACGTGACAAGGGGAAAGATGTTATTGTCCTTCTTCCTAAGGGATACGTCACGACCAAATAGCAACGATTGTTTAAATAAAAAATGTGAATCCTAATGCTGTGAGGTCAGATGGTTTCTACGAAGTGAAACCAGCTCATGAATCAGGTTAGTTTTTTATGTTGTGCGCTCTTAAACAGAATCCTCCTTTTTAAACGTACAACGAGAATCATTTCATAATTAGATTAATTTAATTTGAATAAAAGAGTTAATCAAACATATGTGATTGAAACAAAACACAACTCCGGGTCTGTTTTTTATTCTGACATGTCTTAAAGCTCACAAGAGTCAGTTTGATCTAAAATATGAACTTTAATGTCATACTGTGGAACATTTTACTACATTTCAATACAGTAGCGTCTCTGTTTAGACCAGTATTGGCAGAGTAAAAGCTGGATCAGTGCTTTTCTAATTAGCACTCTCTTCAGATAAGTCCTTTATTCAGCCTGGGGTCCCTGTGTTATTGTGGGGGCCCTTTACATGTGGATAGTGCTTACAGCCCGCACCTCCCCTGTTTATGTTTGCCTTAGCCAAAGGGGTGTGTGTGTGTGTGTGTGTGTGTGTGTAGGGGGAGGGGGCGGCCTGTGCTTTTATATGTGTGCTATGCGCTCACTGGGATTTGACACTAGCTATTGAAGCCGGGCAGTTGCCATGGCGCCCGCTGCCTTATATGGCCATGGCGGTCAAAGAGCAGAGCGAGTGGGAGCAGAGGGGAATGTGCAGGATCGGAGAAACACGGAGCATGACCCCGAGGCCTCCGCGAACCCAAGCCCACAACAGAGGGCCGAGGCCGGGCAGGAAAGTCCGCAGAGCCGGGGTTACGGAGCTAATTGGCAGGATAATGCGGAAGAACCGAGGTGCGTGTCAGGAGAAGTTGTTGCTATGGTAAAGTCTCGTAGCTGACCACATGAAATTACTCATGGATTGATTTCCGTATAGGTCCAGTGAAAATTGGTGGAACATTCAGGCTGTGTCAGACAGAATATTAAAGGTTCATTGTGTAACTTGTGGTGGAGGGTCCATCAAGTGCTTTGTCCATGGAGATGTTATTGCCTTGTCCGGAATGTTTTCACAATATTAAACCTTTGTATCTTCACGGAAACCAAACCAGGCCAAGTCAGATCCGTGGTGCGGCAACCCCACTCAGTCTGTTTTTCAAGGTATTTTTGAGCTATAAAACCACCTGTATTTGAATAAATGTAAGGTAGAGCTGTTTAATGTCACACTGTGGAACATTCCATGTAGATTAATGACATATCCATAGAAAGAAGCAGGTGAGAAGAAGCCAGGCTGGCAACACCTAGTGCCTCCGCTCAGTTTCATTTTTCTCTAGCTACTAGGTCAGGAATCAGAATACACTAGACGGTTTGTAAAGAACCCCGGAAGTGCGAGTTTGGGCACCAGCCAATCAGCGAAGAGACGGACATTCTGTGTTTTCAACAATTCCCGAGATCGAGGATTTAAAGCCAGAACAAAGAGAATGTTTGGTGAATTTGGGAAAAGCTTAATATACCAGTTATTACGCATTACATACGTCACGACCAACTAGTAGTGACTGGTTAAATGAAAAAGTATCAGCCTACTATCGAGTGAACAAAATCGAATCTAAACTAACTAAATCAAAAATCTAATGCTGTGAGGTCAGACGGTTTCTACGAAGTGAAACCGGCCCATGAATCAGGCTAGGTGACCGACCCTCTGTCAAAAAGTTACATAGTGCACCTTTAAATAAACTGGTTTAATGAAGGTGTTTGGAAATACATTTGGAGATCTTTGGATTTGGAGCAACAGTATTTAACGTTTTTAGGACACTTAAACTCAACTGAAATTTTATTGATTCACAAGAGAAATTATGAGTATTTGGACACAGGAGCTCACCCATCACAATATACGATAATAACAAAGAGCAGCAATATGTATGGTAACAATAAAAATAGCGAGAGTTCTGTCAAATAAGACGTAATTAAACCAGTTTATATATGTACAAGTAAAAATGAAATAGTGGCCTATAGAAAAATCTAGACCTGAGCGCTGAATCTGTAATGAGTCTGTTGTTTTGAGGTGTATGAACTTTAAAAATACAGAGTAGAACAGGAGTCATTTCTAAAACTCATCCTGTTACTTTGCTATACATGTTCATTTCTCTATTCTAATACATCTTGACGCCTTATTTGAGGATTGTGTTTTCATATTGTCGCCTGCTCTATCAGTATGAATAATATATGTAGCCTATTCTTGGATTTCACAATGACGAAAAGTTGGGAGTGTCGCCATAGCGGTTAGGTCAGGTTAGGTTAGGTCGCTTTATTCGTACCCACAGGTGAATTTGTTTTGCAGATTTGAGAGATTGGTTGCACATTTCACAATTCATTCATCCACATTTATACACAATAAACACTTAATAACACAATAATTCTTATAAAAATCCCTTTATCATTAAGAGGGACTCCAGTGGTTAAAGGAAAATCAGACTTGTGGACACTTTTAGTTTAGAAAGGTCACATGTTATTGTTGTTTTTTTCTCTGTTAAATTTGTGGTGTTACTTAACCTGATTCATCAGCCGGTTTCACTTCGTAGAAACCGTCTGACCTCGCAGCATTAGATTTAGATTTAGATTAGATTTTGTTCACTCGATGGTAGGCGGATACTTTTTCATTTAACCAGTCGCTGCTAGTTGGTCGTGACGTATGTAATGCACCACTAACGGGGTTAACGGGTATATTAAACTTTTCCCAAATCCTGTAGGAAGAAGGACAATAACGTCTTGATAAAATTCACCAAACATTCTCTTTGTTCCAGCTTTA